TCCCTCTGGATGGCAGTGCAGCCCTCTGGGGTATCAGCTACTCCTCCCCGTTTGGTATCATCAGCAAACTTGCTGAGGGAGCACTCTGTGCCTTCATCCAGGTCATTGATGAATAAATTGAACAGGACTGGACCAAGGACTGACCCCTGGGGGACCCCACTAGCCACAGGCCTCCAACTAGACTCTGCACCGCTGATCACCACTCTCTGGGCCCTGCCATCCAGCCAGTTCCTAATCCATCTCACTGTCCACTCATCTATCCCACACTTCCGGAGCTTGCCCAGGAGGATGTTGTGAGGGACGGTGTCAAAAGCCTTGGTGAAGTCGAGATAGACGACATCCACCGCTCTCCCCTCGTCTATCCAGCCGGTCATTTCATCATAGAAGGCTATCAGGTTAGTCAGGCAAGATTTTCCCTTGGTGAATCCATGCTGACTACTCTTGAGCACCTTCTTGTCCTCCATGTGCCTGGAGACAACAGCCAGTATGAGCCGTTCCATCACTTTTCCGGGGACGGAGGTGAGGCTGACTGGCCTGTAGTTGCCTGGGTCCTCCTTCTTGCCTTTTTTGAAGACTGGCGTGACATTGGCCTTCTTCCAGTCTTCCGGCACCTCCCCCGTTCTCCAGGATCTTTCAAAGATGATGGAGAGCGGCTTAGCTATGGCATCTGCCAGCTCCCGGCAGCACTCTGGGGTGCATCCCATCAGGGCCCATGGATTTGTGGGTATCGAGGTTCCTTAGGTGCTCTCTGACCCAATCTTCCTCTACCCAGGGCAAGTCTTCCTCTCCACCCGCTTCTTCTCTTGCCTCTAGGGCCTGGGGCTCTAAAGGGCTGCCCTTGGTAAACACCGAAGCAAAGAAGGCATTGAGCAACTCTGCTTTTTCTGTGTTATTTGTAACCAAGGTGCCCATCCCGTCCTCCAGCGGACCCACGTTTTCCCTGATCTTCCTTTTGCTGTTAATGTATTTGAAGAATTTTTTTTTGTTATTTTTAACGTCCCTTGCCAGCTTGCCTTCCA